ACCAAAAAAAGGCAGGGAGAGATGTCAATCCAAGAGAAAGACTGCTACGTTTCTTGGTGCAGCAACCTTTAAGCACAGAGGGCTGCCTCAAATATACACCAGCCAAAAGTGCCACTGTGCAGAACTACAGTAGTCTTTCCCTCCAAGATTGTGTGATCCGACATCTGCTACGAACACTGAGTCCTGTGGGTGTCCTGTCACTTTCATCCAGCTAACAGTTTCTGAAGCATCACAAGGAGCGAACAGTAGAAAGGAAAAAGTTATAGTGGAATGAGCACATGCAGAAACCAGACTGATACAAAAACAACACCCTCCTAACCCTGAAGGGATCAACAAGCAGAAACCAAAGAGAGGTGAGCCTAGCCTGTTTATCCCGAACAGGCAGTAACATTGTAACTGGGAATCTTCCTTCCATGTTCTCTAAATCCCCTTCCATTTTCAGGGTACACTAAATTCTCAAAACCTGGATGAAGACACTGTAAGTTTTACTAAGGGGCTACCTGTGGAGCAAATCATGACAATCTACTCGTTTTACAGAAGCTTTGATTAGTTGACAGCAAAACATCCCACTCTATAGACATTACGCATGAGGAGCGTCCTCAAGAGCTTATCGTGAACACACACAGAGGCTGAAGAAACTACTCCTGTAATTTGCAAGCCAGAGGACAGTGTCACATCTCTTCCATGAGCTCGCTCTGAATACAAAGCCAGAGCTCTCCTAGCAGTTTTAATTTCCCACAGCAGAAAAAGGTACCTCTGAACTTTGCAGTAACTGTGTCAGTAGATACAAACTCTGTTCTGCACTGCAGATCGCTGATCTTGGGGATCTTCCCTGCTGGTGTGCAGCTCTCCTGTTGCTGCATACCCATGATTGCTTGCTGCATGCAGGGCTTTCTGTGAACACACAAATAGTGCCAAAATCATCAATTTATCCCACAGAAGTATCCTTGATGGTAACAATTTGCATCTGTATATTAAATGGCTGCTCTCACATTTATCCATTTTCTGGTCTTATGCAATTTTCTCACTAGCAGCCACTCCAATTTATCATGTTAAAATTTCCACCTTCATACAGTAATGTTGCACTGACAGCACCACTTTTTAGATTGTGCAAAAGGCATTATTGGCTGAAATTTAACCCATTAATTGAAATGCAAATAGCGAAGCAGCTCAGGTGGGACTCAATTTCAGGTTTCAGGAACTGCCTGCAATGAGGCAATTACAACAAAGCTTGCCAAGATGATTTTTTTGAGGAAGTTTTATTGAGTTCGAGTTCGCCATTTCGAAATGAAGCGCATGCGGCGCCATCTTACGGTCACGGGGAGCCAATGCGAGGCCACGCACTGCTGCTTGCACCACCGGTACTCACCAACCAACCGTCCTGTAGCTGCTAGTACCAGCCACGTCCTTGGCTGTTAGCATCATATTTTCCGCAGGATCCATTCAGTCAATCGGCCATTCAAGTTTTTGTCAGGAAAAAAAAAAAAACACACTTTAAAACTACAAAAGACATAGTACTTCGGGTTACACTGTGGTTTTAGGTTACTTATATTTTACACTAATAACAGTGTTCGCTAAAACAGCAACCACGCTGAATTTTAGTGTTTAAATGTCTCAAAGCAAGGACAGCTTTCTTCCTGGTCATTTTAAAAGGGATGCTGCTTTGAACTTTAAAACTACAAAAGACATAGTACTCAGGTTACACTGTGGCTTTACGTTACTTATATTTTGCCTAATACCAGTGTTCGCAAAAACAGCAACCACGCTGAATTTTGGTGTTTAAATATCTCAAAGCAAGGGCAGCTTTCTTCCTGGCCATTTTAAAAGGGATGCTGCTTTGGTATTTCTGAAGTTCCAAGGAACAATCAGGAAAGGACATCGCTTACCTAATGCCTGCTTCGTTTCATTCCAAATGTTTTGTGGGTTTTCCTGTTTCAGAGCATGTGCACATGCATGTAACTACCTACTTTAGCAGGCAGATATTTTGCAGAGATGTAGCATACATTTTCTGAAGACAAGTACCACCACCCATTAGAAACAACCATATGTGGGGGCCTCACCAGTGCAGAGCCAATTGCTTCATGAATTATATAAGGCTGGTGACAAACAGCCTTTGTTCTAACTGTCTGTGTAATACAGCGAGACAGCGAGGAAATAACTATTCTTGCCACAGCAGGGAAACAGTGCACTCGTTTTGATTTGTGGTTGCTAAGGAATAAAAACAGCAATGAGTACACTGCAGAGCTCTGCCCTAAGAATTCAGCAGGGATAAGCATCCAAACATTTGAACACTCTTTAATTTCTTCTTTAATTTGTTTCAATAGGATGACACAGTAATTGGCTAAGAGACCAAACAAAGCCCTCTGAAATCAACTTTTTTCAACTTCACTGGGCTTTGGTCTGTGCTGTGAACTGCAACACAAGCAACCTGGAAATGGTAAGAAAGTTGCATACAGAATAGCTCCTTCAATCAATGTTTTCACAGCCAGCTCCCTGTGGAAGTTTGATAGCTATTCATTTGCATTTGTGTAGGAAAGTATTTAGATACCCAAAGATTTTCTTTATAGGCTACTAATCTCGGGATCAATTTTTATTTATACACCTATCCTTTATTTCTGTCCTTACTGTATTATTAGAAAGGTGATTGGCTAAATTGGAACAGCCCACAAGAGGCTGTGGTGAGGTGTGATTTTCAGTGCAACATTGCGCACACACCGATTAGGCACCCAGCACATCCTTACGTACGTGGCAAAAGCTGGGCAGGAGCCCTCTCTCGCCATCACTCCACTAAAAATGGAGATTTGTGCAGTGCTAGGACCTACTGCTAAGTCATGAAACAAAAGGTAACTCGCCTTAGTTCCTCCTCTTTCTCAAAGGGCCATTTTGCTCAAACAATGACCCTTCTGAGGGCTGCAGCATAGCCCACCTGCCTTCACCTCACGCCCATCCTGCTCAGTTGTTAAAGAGCTTCACTTCTAAATGTCCCAGATCAGATTTTGCTCTAAATCGTCTTCCCTTGAATCAGCAGTAGCCTTAGGGAAACCAGAGTTGACTGGATAACAGCATAATC